GGGGGGGGGGAGGCGAATGTGCCAGTGAGTTTGACTATGCATAGTCAAACCACACTTAATTTAAATGTTATGCACCAGAAGCATAACAGTAGTAATTACAGGCACTGGGGCCCCAACAGAGGCCACCAGACCTTCTAGAATTCTTCATGCCCTCTTAAGGTAGGTGAGTAATGCAAGGGTGGGAATAGTTGATGGGAGGGATCTTTCAGTACTTGTATGGCTCCCACCAGCAATGCAGAATGCAAGTACTTCACAACATTAATGAACATTTTCTCCCAACATCTGGGCGAGGTACAAAAGTATTATAACCATTTTACAGATGGGAAACAGAGGCATAGAGAGCAAAACAAAAGTTTTCAAACCTGGGTGCCTAAAGATAGGTTCCTAAACCTATATTTAGACACAAAGCTAATAGTGGCCTATCTCAGAAGTGCCAAGCACCAACAAATCCCACTGAAGTAAATGGGAACAGCAGGTCATCCGCACCTTTGAAAAAATCAGGCCATTTTTAGTTTAGGCACCTTCACTGGAAAACTTTGGCCTAAGCAACTTGCACAAGATACCACAAGAAGTCTGTGGCAGAGTCAGGAACTGAACCCAGATCCCCTGAGCCCAGTCCAGTATCTCAACCAAAAGAGCATCTTTTCTCTGTCCTTTGGATAAAGAACTATGTGATGATATCCCAATATCAGTAAGGAAAATAACATACGTTTGAGACTAAGCATGAGAAACTGCTGCACAAAAGGTAATTTTAGGAGAATAGCTTGGAATGAAACCGTCATCTCAATCATACATTATCTTACTACTGCTGTGACGCTATAATGAAGTGTCCTGTCACAGCATGTGTGTAGGACAGAGAGAAGTTCTGGTGGACATTAACACCACACACAAGTAAAATTAGAAGGATATCTACCAACAAAGCCCCAATTCAGGAAGGCATCCTGAGTCAGGACAACAATGTCAATGGGATGTAAGCATGTACGGAAGTGTTTTCCTAAATCAGGGCCAGAAGAGTGATCTTTAGAAAGCTGGGTGTGCATACTATCATTGTAGTGGTAGCATCACCTGCTAAGATTGCCCAACACCTCCCATTATCAGACCTTGTTTTCAGATACTTATATAACTTTGCCAAACTTTAACCATTTGGGCTAAAATAGTTCCAGGCTGGGTATTTCCTTTTTTTAATTTCAACTGAAGCAGTTCAGCAGCTTCCAGGAAGACAGCTAGGGAAAAATACGTTTTGCCCATGTTAAAAAAAAAAAAAAAAAAAAATCTGGTAACCTCTTCTTTGAAAAACTCTAATGCGCTCCTGTTTTGGAGCAGCCGCTACAAAGAAAGTCAGACTTCACCCCGTAAACAAAATAGTATGTAGTTGTGTAATTATAGACTGTATCATAATGTATAACCCTAAGGAGGACAAATTAAGGTTGCACAGGCAACTAACTCTTGCATTTCTTAACTTTAAATATGCAAGCTCAAGCACTCAACTCTCCTTTTAACACAGTATTTTCACATGTAATATATAAATACTGTGGAACCTAAACTATATGAATTCTTTAAAAATGATATTGAAAGCACTTTTTAAAGTAGGAACTTATAATACTCACCTTTAATGATAAATCAATCTGATTTTTGATATTTTGAATAACATAGCCTTCTACGCCAGCGTGGTTGCTTGTCTTCAATAAACACCTTTAAAAGTAAAATAGAGAAAGACAGTATCTTTGCATTATATTTCGTTGAAAAATCTAAATGAAATTCTGGCCTTATAGAAATAAATGGGTTTTGCCCCCTTACTTCAAGGGGGCCAGAATTTCACCCCTAATCTTTGGAGTTCACAAAAGGGCTGGCTTCAGTGTCTTGTTTTTTAGTAACATGAAAACTAAAATCAATTGCCATCATCATGAAATTAACATGGGAGCTCCTATGTGAGCTCCTATGCAGTTACCATGATTTCTGACTGAATTACTAGGCAATTAAATTGCATCAAGACCTGTTTCTCTGCATTTTATGCAGGATGCATACCTGAACAAAGTGTATTTTCCCTCTGCATCAAACTTGTCTATATATAACTGCAATATCTTCAAACTCTTCTTTCGCTAAAAGAAAAAGATTCTATGAAGACATTTGCATTTAATTAAAATAAAACAAATTTAGCATTTGTAACCCCTGGAATAATTAAATTACGTACCAAATGCTCTATAGGACAAAGGGTCATCACTTTCACCAAACCCTGCAGTTGGAAAAAAGTACATAAAGTTTGGTTGCTCCCCTTGGAAGGCTGTTCCAGAACTTCACTCCTCTGATGGTTAGAAACCTTCGTCTAATTACAAGCCTAAACTTGCTGATGACCAGTTTATATCCATTTGTTCTTGTGTCCACATTCTTAGTGGATGTTGGTAAGGAGTAGAATCAGACAGAGCTTTATAATGGGAATGGACTGATATCTAGTATTGATTTATACAAAGCTATATAAAGATCACTAAATTTACCATGGATACTAAAATAGAGCAAGTGGTCAAGACTTCATGGATGAACTATTCTGAAAATATTCTTGATAGATTAGGCTTAGAAGCAGAGTATGAAATTTAAAAAGTATAAGGTGATGCATTTGCAAAGAAACAATAGTTTAAATGTCATTGAATTAACTGCTATGGTTGGTGGAGAAAGCATGCATGTATTAATAGACCTGATGCTGAAATTCTCAGTCCAGTGTGCAACAAATGTGAAGGAGGACAACAGAATATTGATTTCTCTCAACACAAATATAACCTCTAATATTGTGTGCTCTCACTTTGGTTAGACTAAATATGGTGTAATTTTAGTTATATTTTAATATGTATTTGTAGAATATGATGTAGGTAAAAATGCAACCAATGGGACTTAGGTTCTTATTTATGAGAAGAGTGACAATTGAGATTGTTTCACAAGAGAGAAGACTTAAGAAATGGTATTTATGGTTGTATTTAAACTACCCATGGATCATTTTAATTTAAGAGTGACATATTTGAAATTAAGTGGATCTATTGAACTATGGGTCTTTGGTTTAACACTGAAGGGAATACATATTTTATTTAGAGGGTAGCGAACTGGTGGAATGGCCTTCTTGCACTCCTCTGGCATAAAATTGTTTTTTAAATTTTAAAAAAACTTCAAGTTAAATGTTTAAAAAGCTTCACTACATAGGAAGGCATCAAACAATTCCAGACACAAGGGTACCTGTCTTGCTTCCAATCCTTCACAAACTTATAGCAAATTAAAATGCAGAAATCTGAATTCATCACCAAAATTTTATATATAAAAATGGCACTGCATATTTGCATTAACAATGTTCACCCTTCTAGCTGGGATGAGACTTTGACTAAGCTAGAGGAGACCCCTTTTGTTGGGAGTGTGGAGGGGGGAGAACAGATGAGGCAGTGTTTCATACGTCCCCTTTTTTTCCCCCCTTTGGTGGGTGAAAGTTGTTGCTTAACTCTTCTTTTCCCTTCCTCTTCCCCAGCCTGCGTCCTCATGCTGCATAATGTGTGTAGGGGAGAGGAAAGGGACAGGGACATGAGAGTCACATGTTGCACCTGAATCCAATCTCTGGGGCTCATCCTGCCCACCACTATTTCCACTGGATGGGATATGGGGATGCTGTTCAGTGGTGAAAGAAAGGGGGTGATAAAGTTTGCTTCCCAGGTGGGTAACCATTGCAGGCTCCCTGTTCCAGTTAACAATTCTTAATAGCAAGACACTGTACGGTTTCAAAAACAATTAAGTTTCTGAGTGAGGCAATCCTTTTATTCTCTAAGTTCTTCTCTCTCAAATCACCTAGGGAACAACTAGATAGCTCAGTGGTTTGAGCATTGGCCTGCTAAACCCAAGGTTGTGAGCTCAATCCAGTTAGAGATCTGGGGCAAAAATCTGTCTGGGGATTGGTCCTGCTTTGAGCAGGGGGTTGGACTAAATGACCTCCTGAGATCCCTACCAACCCTGATATTCTATGATTCTAGACATGACATGGCACTTTAAGTAAAAATACTTGTTTACATTGCATCCTAATACCTGAGGTGCTGTAATGAAGCCTTTGAATTCCAAATACTGATGATGAAGGCTATCATCACTCATTCTCAATAAACAGTTTCCAAGCAGGTCCTACAAGCAATAAAAAATAATTTTAAAGACAACGTAACTTTGCACTTGTACAGTACTTTAATCCTCAAATGACTTCACAAACTAAGGCCACAATCCTGCAAATGTTTATGCATGTATTTAACTTTATGCATACGAGTAAATCTTAAACAAATATGTAACATGCTTTCAGGACTGGGGATTATCTGATTAAGCCTCAATAACTAAAATTATAGTATGCAATATTACCCTCATCTTTTACAGACAAGGGAAATTAAGATTGTACCATAACATAGATTACAAAGAATATACAATATTTGATTTAAAAAAAAAAAAAAAACAACTTACAAGTCCTTTAGTTAACACAGATTCTTCTGTCCTACAAGAAATTAAGATAATTATCAGTTTCAAAGTATGAATTCAAAAACGTTTTGTTGATGTTTAAGATTAACTAAGTAGTACAGGATCTATCTAAAAATGAGCTCAGCTACTAACAGTTCCTATTCTGCTTCCTGTCGTCATTCCTTCAACTGAATTATTTAACTATATTGAGCAGAAGAGTTTGTAGATTTGACTCCTTTTGAGATCAAGAGCTGATATTTCCATTCTATATTTATGAGTGTTCAAAGGCAAGATCTCAAGTCCCTGAGACGCCCTGGTATTAAAAGGAAGAAAATGGTACTTTCCCAACTGCAGAACTCTGCAAACTTTTTCCAAACATGAGTGGAAGAGAGTGAATCCTAATCTAAAGAGGCTGAAAAGTTTAGGCCAAGCAAGGCACAATGGAGTGGTGATAACCTATGAAACACTCATGCTTGTAGAGTAGTACTTGGACTTAATCTTTGTAGACTACAGACAATAATGGGGCAAATGACTACAACATTTGAGTAGGTCTGGTGTTCTATTTATTGAGGGCCACAATACAGATGAAGATAGCATACTATCATAGGATACAGTCAAATATTTCCACGGCAACCTCACTTCATTCTCCACTGTGTAATTTAGTTACAGAAGTACTACTAAATATTCAAATTCAGAAAATTGGAATGTTTAAAATGTTCTTAGTTTGGGTTTCCATAAATAAATAAAACACAGTTGTGAAATGAATACTGTAAAACATATTCAAAAATGTAAGAGCATACCACATAAAAGTATTGTGTTTAGGACAACTTTTTACAACTCTTTGGAGGGAAGGGGCATCATCTTGTGCTGAGTTGTGCCATATTAACACTCAGCTTCAAAAGAGTTTTCCCCACAATTTGAATTCTGAATTCAAAGTTTGCTTTCATAAATTACTACCACAGATGAGAAAGCAACTGTCGGACAATTAAGACGGACAAGCAAGAAACAAATCCAGTATTTGAAACTCCAAATTTTGTATGATCTTACCTTTCCAATAGGACCTCAATGTGTGTCATGTTGCACTGCAGAAGATATGATGGACTAAAACAGAAAAGTTATTTATAAATACAATTCCATAGACCACACAGCCTACATGTTGATATAAAAATAAGCTCTGTGGCACTATATATAGGAATAGTAACTATTTCATAAAATTAAGAGTAATTTTAGGCTAAATGGATACCTTTGAAATAGATGTGTGCTAAATAGATTGTCGTCCCCCCCGCAACACTCCCACACTAGGTCCCAATCCTGCAAACACTTACATGCTTAATTTTAAACATATAAATAGTCCCCTGGCTCCTTCTGTGAGACAACTTGTTTCTAAAATTAAGCACACACAAGTATCTGCAGACTTGGGGCCTAAAAGAGAAAACACCTCTGCACACATACCATTTATTACATGACAGTTGCCCTGAAATGAATGCTAATGCAACACAAAGGCTTACAAAATAATTAGTGATTAATATTAAAAGGTTTTCTTCTGCTCCTGACAATGCCTTTAAAGAACCTCAACAAATCAGCCACTAATAATAAATGGATGGAAAATAGCTCTTACCTAAAGACCATTGGAAAACAATCAATATCAAAATACTGAACAAACACCAGATATGACAGACATGCCAAAGAATCTGCAGAATGCTTTCTATCTACATCCAAAAAATCCGGATTATCCCAGTTCTGATTTCTGTTTCCACGGTGTGAAAACAATGTTGGTAACAATTCTTTTATATCCAATAAAATGCCCTGTTTATTAAAAAGAAAAAAAAAGTCAACTACATATAGCTGCTTTATAAAAGGAAATACAGATATAAAGTTTTAAATTAGGATTCACATTTTAAATGGTATATAGTAAAATCTCTACCTACCATATATACAATCATTCCTGAAAATATTTTTTGTAATTACACCTCTACCTTGATATAACGCTGTCCTCGGGAGCCAAAAAATCTTACTGAGTTATAGGTGAAACCGCATTATATCGAACTTGGTTTAACCCACCGGAGTGCGCAGCCCCGCCCCCCTGGACCGCTGCTTTACCGTGTTATATCCAAATTCGTGTTATATCCGAATTCCTGTTATATCGGGGTAGAGGTGTATGTGTACACCAAAACTACATTTAAGGAAATTATTAAGGTGGCAAAGTGAAGCACTCAAAGGTTAGGAAATGCCTGAAATAATATTGCCTGTGCAATCTTGATTTGGCCACCATGTGTGTATACACTATGATACAGTATTTAATTACATGATCACAAACTCTTTTTTCCACAAACCTTTGCCTCATCTTTAGTGCACAGAATGGATGATGCTCACATAATGACCAGCTATGCAGTATTTTGTTTTCTCTTCATTGTTCAAAGTTCAATCCCAGACCTTATTTGCTACACAGTATTCAAACCCTGCTCTGAAGACACAGTTATTAATTTCCTTATGGGCTTTTTTTATTGGGCTTATTGCCACAATATCTGAGTGCTTCACAAACAATTTTCACAACACCTCTTTGAGGTGAGCGAGCATTAACACCATTTTACACATTGGTACTGAGACATGGAAAGTAAGGTCAAAAATATCCACTATTTTGGGTGCTCACTTTGAGACATCTAAGACCTGATTTTTTCATAGTATTGTCATTATGTAGTATGTCATATGTTCAAAGCACAGCTCCCATTGAGTTCAACTGCAGCTGTGAGTGTTCAGCAGTTCTGCAAATCAGATCCCATGGGCTCAAATTGGGTACCCTGAAAATGAGGAACATGCTACCAAATGAGGAACATGCTACCTGTACAAAGGTGGAGAGTTGGGTCCCCAGTATCATGGAAAAACTCTGAGCAGAAGCAGTGACAAAATCCAATTCTCCAAGGCAGTATTCAACTGTCTTAACCATGAGACTGTCCTTTCTTTTCCTAAAATCCCCTGCCTCATTCATTACACACTTTGCAACAAATGAAGTAGAGGTTCAACACATGAAGCAGGGATTCAACACATGAGGCAATGTTACAAGTCCTTCCTATACCAGCAGCTGTTGCCAAAAGAACTGAAGTCTAATGCCCAAAACCTGACTTTGCTTTTTGCACAGCTATTATTGAGATAGGGGATAAGCGTACAATAACTGAATAGTTTTTTAGCTAAAATTTCATAGACAATTGAATACATTTGCACAGTTAACAGCAAATAGTCCATTAAGACTCAGTTATCTAGGACCTACACAAAGGGCACTCTCTCCTAATCAGGGTTGGGGACACTGGTTGTGTCATCTAATAAGCTGGTACTGCAATTATTTACCGTGTAGATTAGCTTCCTGAAATTTCAGTTCATAGTAGAGCCCTGTGCGGGACTATTTTTAATTCCACTCCTGTCACCCCGCAATACCCACTCTCATCTGCTCCCACTATTACAGCAGAGGGTCCTGCGGAACCCGTGGGATCTTGGGCCCACTGCAGGGCTCTAGGTCATAGGCCCCAATTCAAGACATCACTTATGCATGCATTTAAGAACAACTGAAGTCTTTGGGACTGAAGCATATGTTTAACGTTAGGTTTGTGCTTAAGTGGGTGTCCTGAATAGAAAATATTCTTCACTTTATCCAAAATATGATCCACTTAGATTTTTAAAGTGCAACCCTACCCAATGACATCAATTATTATAAAAAGGAAAGGGCTACAATAAGTAGAGGGGCAAACTTGGTTCTTTTAAAAAGCCAAACACAGAATTGTATTAGTTTTGGTCATGTAGGGACCTCACCTCATTATCTCCTTTTAAAAGCCCTGATAGATTTGCACATCTATGGGGATGGGGCAAGCTGCATAAGAGCAGACACTGCTGATAATTCAGAGAGCAGCAGCCCAAAGAGATGTACCATGAGGGCTGAATTTGGTCCAAACATTTATTGCATAACATTCTGTTGGGGCTGACGCAAGTTGCCTTGGGCTGATGTTACAGAATGGTTTGGAAGGAGCTAGTAGTGAACTGGCTTTGACCAGCGGAGCTGGCTTTCAGCCACTTGGCTGGATAAACAAGTGAAGAGATAAGGAAGGCCTGAGACTGTGAAGTATGGGAATAGAAAACAGCAGTGTTTCCTGCCAGAGCCTGCTTGTGGGTGAATATGCCCCCCCCTTAGAAGGAGGTGATGATTATGAGAATTGCTTTAGACGAACAATCTCACCTGCGGACCCTGGCCTTGTGGGTGCCCAGGAATTCCCCACGCTGGAGCAGTGCCTGCTACGAGCCCTCAAGGACAAGGTAGGAGGGTCCAGGACTGTCTGTAGCAGAAGGGGCGTAAGCATTGATTCTTGCTTGCTTGCTGGAAAGCACGTATTTAGTAATGCGTAAAGGCGGGGAGGCTTATTATACTTTGGCAATAAAACTGGTTATACTTATGCACCTGGCGTGCTTGACTGAGTGTATCCAAGCCCCCACCCTTGGGACCGAGACATTCACAGATTTTTTTACTTTCAAAGCCAAGTTTTGTTGACCCTAAGGATCTGATATTGTTCCAAGACTTTACCTTCATCAGCACTATCTTACAGAATCCCATAAACCAAATCAGGAAGCCAACTGATTTCTCTGACTGATTATAGTGAATACTGAATTGTAATGACTGATTTTGCAAGTCACTATAATTCATTTTAACTGCACTTACTAGAATTTCAGCTGCAAAATGCCTTAAGGGGTCTTCTTCAATGTCTTCTTGCAGCTGATCAAGCTGTGCTATTAATAAGGGGTATTTCAAGCTTTTCAAACAACTGAAAGAAAAGAAGGTAACAATAATTAGAACCTTTTAACAAAAACACTACCACAACCACCAATACAGAATATAATGACATTGTCTCCAGGGGGTCTGAAACTGTCATGCCCCTTGCCCCTGCTGCTGCTCATGATGGATCCAAGGGGGAGTCTCCAAACTCAGGGACTGGCTCTGCTTCCTGTTTTTCATCCCTATACTCTCATGGCTGGGGGCACTGCTTGGATCCTGATGCCTCCAAAGAGGCATGTCCCTCATCCTGGTGTAAATGCAAGGAAGGAGTAGGGGCCTTTGACTGGGCTTCCCACCCCTTATACAGGTACTCTTCTACCACCTGCCAGCCAGGAGGGGAATGAGCGTTGCCCTTCCTTTCATAGTTCACAAATATGGAAGGGTTTGTTTTTTTTTAAAAAAACAAACACATTAAACAGTTTATTTGATAAACTATAAAATATCAACAGTGTATTCACCGCTGGTGCATGAAATTTTGATTGCTCATTTTATTTCATTACACAAGCATTTTAAGCAGAAATAAGATACCCACAATTTTAGCAATTCTTCTTTGAGCTCTTCGTCATCATTTTCTGTTGAGGTTTCCATATTTTTAACAACTTCATCCACAAAAGGTTTAGCAAAATCCACTATTGCATTGCAACACTGGCAGAGGCCAAGTTTATCTTCTCGTATTTCTTCTTTTGTGTAAGGTACAGGCAGGAGAGAGAGTTGATTTAAAATGGTAGACAAAGATAAACCCACTGAGTATGACTTCTTGCTATGAAGTTTCAATAGAACTGAAATAAAAAGAAAGTGTTGTTAAACATCTAGTTATCTACTATTTTCCCCCACAAATGATGTTAGAGAGGTGGAACATCTTAATTTCTTCTGGTTTATAACACAAAAGCTTTTTCCTGCCATAATAGATTCAGTGTTTGAGAAAAAGCAAAGAATAAGAACTGTACTGAGTTAAGTAATTGTATTGAACAGCCTTTGGTTTAAAAACAAACAAACGAACCTGCAATACTATGAACAAGTGCAGAGACACCAGGATTCTGCACCTGTTAGTTTTGGGATGTTATAACTACCAGCACCACAGGGTTGAGTATTGCAAAGAAATATCACAACAGCATCCCATGCATTTTAATATACAACAAATCCTGCCTCTGTAAAGTGGAGGTAAATATTGAAAATTTCTCTCTTATATCACTGGCCCAAAGGGGCAAACCCTTCCTGGCCCTGAAAACATCTGTACTACCGAAGTGTTTCTAACCATGGCAGAACAAGAGACTATACCAAATGTCTGCTGAAATCTGGCCCTTTTGCACCACACTAGGACTGTTCTAATCTATGCCAGAGCCAGTGTAGCACCGGCCCCAAAATCAATGTGCCGCAACTAGCTCCTTTACAGACTCCTCTCTCATTTCAGCTGCACTTGGCGACACTGGTCCACAGTCCATAACTCTTAACAGAAGACATCGTTCTAATTACCAAAACGTTCCCCTTAAATTCCAACATAATTTTAGCGGCCTGTATCTCGCGAACCACTAAAGTTAGGCTTGGTCTACACCAGGGGTCGGCAACCTATGGCACGTGTGCCAAAGACGGTACGTGAGCCGATTTTTAATGGCATGCTGCTGCCTGCTGGGGTGCCGCTCAGCCCGCTGCTGAACCCTGGCAGCGGGCTGAGCCGGATTTTGGCAGGCAGCAGCGTGCCATTAAAAATCCTGCCCGACCCAGCCCGCTCTTCTCCATCCCCCGCCTACCGCTCTCTCTGGCAGGGGAAGAGGGCAGAAGCAAGCTTGGTCCTGCCGGCTGCTGCTGTACGGCAGGCTCCGCCGGCAGCCAAGCTTCCCCCTCCCCCGCCTCTTCCCCCAGCGTGCTGCGTCGAGCCCCGCCTTCTCTCCCTCACTGCCGCCAATGGCCCTTGAGAGGGAGGGGAGAAGAGCAGCCCCAGCACCCTCACTGCTCAGACCGGTAAGGAGGCGGAGAAGAGGCAGGGGAAAGGAGGGTAGGAGCGGGGCCTATCCTTCCAGCCCCCTGCCGTGAACCGCTCAGGGGGCTGGGAGTACCCCCCTGATCCCAGCCCACCCCCCCAGTCCTCTGCCCTGACCCCTGCACCCCCCTTGCACCCCAGCCCCCTGTATGCCCCCCCACGACCCCATCCCTGACTCCTGCACTCCCCACACATACCCAGCCCCCCCACACCCCATGCCCTGACTTTTGCACCCCCCACATTCCCACCCTGAGCACCAGGTTGGCAGTGGGCTGAGCGGGGCCAGCGACTGGGACCCCAGCTGGCAAGGAGCCGGCAGCCAGAACCCCAGACCGGCAGTGGGCTGAGCGGGGCGGGCAGCCGGGACCCTGGCTGGCAGGAGCCAGCGGACGGAACCCCAGACCAGCAGCGGGCTGAAGCCGCTCGGCCCGCTGCCGGTCTGGGGTCCCGGCCCCCGGCCCCGCTCAGCCCGCTGCCGGTCTGGGGTCCCGGCTGCCGGCCCCTTGCCAGCTGGGGTTCCGGCTGCAGGCCCTGCTCAGCCCGCTGCCGGCCTAGGTGAACGGAACCCCAGGCTGGCAGCGGGCTGAGCAGGCCAGCGGCTTAAGATCAGCATTTTAATTTAATTTTAAATGAAGCTTTTTAAACATTTTGAAAACTTTGTTTACTTTACATACAACAGTAGTTTAGTTATATTATATATAGACTTATAGAGAGAGACCGTCTAAAAAACATTAAAATGTATTACCGGCACGTGAAATCTTAAATTAAAGTGAATAAATGAAGACTCGGCTCACCACTTCTGAAAGGTTGCCGACCCCTGGTCTACACTTAAAAACTTATACCAGTATAACTATATTGGTCAGGGGTGTGGAAAAAAAAACCAAAAAAAACCACATGCTAGTGACAAAGCTGTGCTGACAAAATCTCCAGAAGAGTGGTTCTGTTGGCATAGTTAACGCCATTCAGGGAGGCAGTATTCCCATACCAGAACAAAAACTTCTTCTGTTGGTATATGCTGCATCTACAGGGGACATTCGTTTGAAAGAAACATTGATTTTAAGCTCTAGTGGGTCTCAGGATAGCAGCCACTAATAATATATCAGAACTGAAATGAAAAGAGAACTAATGAATAAAAAAAAAGTTCAGATATATTTTAACTTCTGCAGGCTAAAATGTAATGCTTTACACCACTAGAAAAACTGCATTCACAGCTAATGTTTCCAGTGGTGAGAGGTGTTACATTCTGGCCTCTGAGCTCACAGGTATTTTTTTAAGCAAATATGCAGTTTGTGATTTTCATTGATATGCAGGAATTGGTTAACTTTCAATATCTATAAAGGGCAAGTGAATAAAAGTCATAGATACGGATGACTGTTTCAGGAGGAGGAGGATGGCAACACACAGAAAGTATAAAGATTTTTAGTACAAGCAATGGCTGAGTATTGCATTTCAGCAGATGCCAATTTGAAATATTCTGCTTTTAAACCATTTGTTGTGTCCTCAGGCACTCTTAAAACAGGTCTCAATAAGTACTGAAATTATACTTCATGTGCTCCCCTAGAACGCTAGGTCTTCTACAGCACAGCACTACTTTAAATACAAGTAATAAAATTATCAGCTGAGAAATGTTCCAAATCTTTTTCAACAGCAGATAAACTAATGCACTAAACTGGAGTAGGAAAGCGATTTTGTTTAAGTATACAATCAGATAGGAAAGTGCTCATTACCTGTCTGCAGAGGCTGAAGCAAGAGCAGAATAGTATGGGATATCTGTTCCCCAGATGTCTGCTCAATCTGCTCAAGTAAACCCAATAAAAGTTCCTTTGGATTACACAGCTGCAAGAAAGGATCAAGCCATTGTACTGTTGTTTATCTCCAAAGCAATACATTAAGTACCTTTACAATAATAAACATACTTCCAACCTGTAACAGTTTTTGCATGGCAATGACAGAAGATGCAAAACATCCAGGACATTATTGTTACAAAAAAACAAAACCTAAAAACCACAAAAAGCTCATGCTTTCTTTAAAATAGCAGTGTCCAACATTTTTGAGCTGAGTTCCCCCTTTGAGTTACAATTTTTGGATGTGCTCCCCCAATATCTGCTCCTCCCTCCTCGGGGTTTCTGGGTGTGGGAAGGAGTGTGCCTCGGTCTCTGGGGATGGAGCTAGTGCTGGGCATGAAGGTGTCGACATTGACTGGGTGGCCTGCTGAGGGGAGTCAGGGGATGGAGGCAGCGCTCCCCCTCTGAACCTCCAGGCATGGAGCTGGCCCGAGCCCCCCCGAACATTCCTTTGCACCCCTCTAAGGGGGCACGCCCCACAGTTTGAAAACTTCTGCTTTAAAACATGCATTTAGAATGAAGCTACATGTAAGGATATTTAGATTAATATGTTCAAATAACATTTTATTCTACTTTGATATGAGACCACTTTAACTGGCAGAGGTAAAAGAAAAAGTTCAGCATGTACTCTACTGCTTGAATTAAATTCAAAATGATATGTTTTCACCCAATCTTATAGATCACTTGTCTGCCTTCCCTCTTCCACATTTATATTGCTGTCAAAGGTTCACTAAGAGACAACAAATATCAGGACTTTAATATCATTAAACAACATCCAGACCAGCATGGAAAATCTATCATTCACTTAAAGGAAGTTTTCTGATTAAAGTTAAGGTTTACAGAACAAACATTGTAACAATAAGACACTTAAAGTTCTGTAATTGTACAATAATTATATGAGATTCGCCTTTATTAAGACTACATGGTTTGACAACATACCTGCACCAACTGATCTAGTATTTTCAGACAATGTTCTCGCTTCTCATCTTCCTGCTTATAACTCAAAATACATCTAACAAGAGGACAAACAAGATTCCAACCCATACTCTTGACAATAACCTGTAAATCAGATTTACAGAGAAAACAGGCCAAAATTTAGCGGATTTAAAATACAATCCTAAATGAATACATATATACACATCAAAAAGAATCAATAAATTATGGATGACAAACAGATGAATGATAGATGACATCAAGAAGGCTGAGGTGTTTAATGCCTAGTTTACTTCAGTTTTCACTAAAAAAGTTAATTGTGACCAGATGCTTAATACAATTAATATTAATAAGGGGAAAGGAATGCAAGTCAGAATAGGGAAAGAACAGGTTAAACAATTTTTAGAAATGTATTCAAGTTGGCAGGGCATGATGAAATTGATCCTAGGGTACTTAAGGAATAGCTGAAGCAATCTCAGCAATTAGCAATTATCTTCAAGAACTCATGAAGGATGGGTGAGGTCTCAGACAACTAGGAAAGGGCAAACATGGTATTTATCTTTATTATATTATAGAGCTGTCTGCTTAATTTTGATACTTGGTAAAATCCTAAAACAAATTATTAAACAATTAATTTGTAAGCACCTAGAGGTCAATAAAGTAATAAGTAATAGCTAACATGGATCAGTCAAGAACAAATCATGCCAAATCAACCTAATTTCCTTCTCTGACAGGGTTACTGGAATAATGCATGGGGGAAAGGCGTTGATGTGACATATCTTGATTTTAGTTCAGCTTATGACACAGTCCCACATGACAATCTCATAAGTAAGGTTGCGAGTCTGTCACGGAAGTCACGGATTCTGTGACTTTCCAGGACCTCCATGACTTCTGCAGATGGCAAGTCTGACTGACCCCAGGGCTGCCTGAGCAGCTCAGGTGACCCTGGGGCCAACTGCATTGGTCTGCCCTGGGGCCAGCTGCACCCCCAAACAGTGGCGGTCCTGGGTTGTGCCCCCGAAGTGGCTGCAGTCCTGGGCTGCCCCCCGACAGCAGCGGCGGAGCCGCCCCCCCCCAGCACCAGCAGGCGTCCCGGAGGCCCCCCCCCCCCCCCAGCACCAGTGAGCGTCCCAGAGCCCCTCCACCAGCAAGCGCCCCGAGCCTCCCCCCTTCCCCCCTCAGCACCAGCGGATGCCCCAGAGGCCCCCCTCCAGAGCAGCAGCTGTGCCCCCAGAGCACACCAGAACACCAAAGATTTAGTCAGGAGTACACAGTAGAAGTCATGGACAGGTCACGGGGCCAGGACTTTTTCTTTATTGCCCGTGACCTGTCCATAACTTTTACTAAAAAATACCCACGACTAAATCTTAGCTTTACTCTTAAGCAAACTAGGGAAATGTGATCTAGATGAAATTATTATAAGATGGGTGCATAACTGTTTGAAAAACCATACTCAAAAACGTTCACTGTGCAATGGTTCATTGTCAAACTGGGAGGACGTAGCTAGAGCGATCCTGCAGGCGTCTGTCCTGGTATTATTGAATGTTTTCATTAATTATTTGGATAATGGAGTGGAAAGCATGCTTATACAATTTGCAGACACCACCAAGATGGAGGGGGTTGCAAGCACTTTGGAGGACAGGATTAGAATTCAAAATGACCTTGACAAATTGGAGAATTGGTCTAAAATCAACAAGATGAAATTCAGTAAAGACAAGTGCATAGTATTATACTTAGGAATGAAAAAATCAGATGTACAACTACAAATGGGGAATAACTGGCTGGGTGGTAGTATTGCTGCAAAGAATCTGGGCGTTATAGTGGATCACAAATTGAATATGAATCAACAATATGATGCAGTTGCAAAAAAGGCTAACAACATTCTGAGATGTATTAACAGGAGGGTTGAATGTAAGACACAGGAGGTAACTGTCCTGCTATGCTTGGCACTGGTGAGGCCTTAGCTGGTGTACTGTGTCCAGTTCTGGGCACCACACTTTAAGAAAAATGTGGACAAAGTGGAGAGAGTCTAGAGGAGAGAGAAATAAATGATCAAAAATTTAGAAAACCTAATCTATGAGGACAAGTTAAAAAAACTGACCATGTTTAGGTTTGAGGAAAAAAAGAGTGAGGGGAGACCTGACAATAGTTAAGGGCTATTATACAGAGGACAGAGAGCAATTGTTCTCCATATCCACAGAAGATAGGATAAGAAGTAGTCAGATTAATCTGCAGTAAAGGAGATTTAGATTCGATACTAGGAAAAATGTTCTAACTATAAAGATAGTTCCAGAGGAGGTTGTGGAATCCTTGTAATTGAAGATTCTTAAGGCAAGGTTAGGCAAATACCTGTCAGGTATGGTCAAGATATATTTGTCCTAACTCCATGCTGGAGGCTTACCTAGATGACCTCTCGAGGACCCCTCCAACCTTGCATTTCTATAATTCTGTGATCACCGCTGGTTGTAACATACCATAGTAATTAACCTGAATACAAAGTTTATCATTACAATGTTCTGGGCATCTCCTTCCTCCTTCCCTATTTGGCAGAATGGATACATATTCTGAAGAGCATTCTCCAAAATATACATTGAATGTTTTTTCTCGTTTGTCAACATAAACTTATGCATTTCCAGGTGTGTATGTGAATGTGCTTTGCAAATAGGGATAGGCAGTGTTCTCACTCTTTCATTGGATGGTAGTAGCAAAATTCCAGGCAAAATTAGAGAGAACACACTATTTGAGGAAGGAGGTAAACTGTTCTTTTCAGGTCTTAAAATCTTTACTCTAAAATTCAGTGGGGTACAGAGGCTGCAACCAGACTACTTTCCATGAAGTGGGACAAAATTATTCCATCCTTCATCACCTTTTCTGACTTCCTATCTATCTCTGTATCCCATATAAGTATGCTCTCCTGGTTTCCCAAACTGGTCATATACTTCTCTGAACTTTCATTCTGTTACTTCCTGTCTGCTCACTTTCTTATTAAAATCTTGGCCAATTTTAGTCCATCCATCTGGAATTCTCTCTACCCAACAGAGAGTCACTATCATTTCCCCTTTTTAAATTTTGCCTTAAAATCTCTCTTTTCTTTTCTGTTTATCTCACTGGAAAACATTAATGAAAGAGTTTGTTAAGGACACTGTGCCACATATCCTTGTTTAAAGCTAAACAGTACACTGCTCAGGAGGTAATATACAAAGTTGGCTTTAATCCACTTCTTCCACTCTTTCTATCCTGGACCAGTTGTGCAGCAACCTGGCTCCCCAACATAAGGCAATGCAGCCTGAGGGCTGCTCTAAGATGCTTCAGCTAACAACAGCTCTAAGGGGCTGATCTAAGAGTCAAGAATTACTGTAGTACAAGGAAGCCCCTGCTTCCTACACTGACAGCCTGGAGTGGTCACATGTAGGAGCCACTAGCATGCCTGTATGACATGAAAGGATCCGCCTACTCTGGGGTGACCTCTTCTGGTTGGCTATGTTTGTTTCAGGTCCAGTAACCATTGCCAAAACAGCTTCACAGAAAGAAGAATCTGGGTCTATACAAACTGTATATGTCTTTCAGTGTATACCTGGTACAGTGCCCTGAAATTGTACATCCTTGTGGGTACTATATGGTATAGGAGGCTTACAAAGATACTAAGAATAAAGCAATGTATAAACAGCTGGAATATGCAAAATTTAACCTATTTACCTATGTGTTTAATGTATACCACTAAAATACACACAGATGCAGATTTAAACTTACCTTATTTTTCTCATTTTGAATTACTTCTAATACTTCTGCTGCATAACCCTCTTCTAAGCACTTCTGGCCTGCTACTTGAAAAAGATTAAAATCTTCTCCTTTGAAATCTTCTTCTTTTAGGATTTGCTACAATGAAAATTTATCTTTAACTTTACATTTATATAATGTAAATCACAAACAAACCCAAATTTGAGTTTAAATACAATTTATTATAGCTGTAGTTTAGTTTTTACTATACCTATGATACATCATTTAGACACGAGAATACTCCTTAGGGAACGCTGCACCAAAAAAGTTAAAAATTCTGCATCAAAAGAGTTAAAAATTCTGCAAAATAACACATTATAATCACACCATTTTCAATTATTTACTAATATTTTGAAATAAATTACCAAAATAATTGAAAATGGTGTGATATTATTATTGTGTTTCTGTGTTATTTTGACAAATAAAATATGCAGAACTTTGCAGAATTTTAAATTTTTTTATTTTTTGGATCAGAATTCCCTCAAGAGTACCCGCATTCTGTGTGGCGCAATCTGGGTGCGGGCAGCTCAGTGGGGGTGGCATTTTTCTGCTGCACCGCAGTGGCGCACAATTCCTCAAGGAGTAAAACAGATACTAGTAATTACTACAGAACACATGCCAGTCTCTCAATAACACTTTCCCTGACCTGAGATTACACCAAATCTTTTGGAGAGGTACATTTTCTTCTATATGCTCCTGCCTATCGTCCAAGAGGCAAGGGTCAGATGCTAGTAGCAGTCCTAGGACAAGAACCAGGGAGCAGGCAATGGAAACTAAACCTGCATGGTCATGAAGAGCGCTATCGAAAGCTCCCCTGCTTTTTTATTTAAATATAGTACACGCAGATGTAGGCAATGCCAGTTTCTATAACTTTTACTATCTTTTTTAAAAAAGGAAGTTACTTACGCATCTTTGTATAATGGCTTGAAGTTCCTCAGTTGCCATCATATCCTGACTTTGTTCCTATGACACTGAAAAGCTCTGTCATAAATTAGAGTACAGTACTGAGTCACATATTGTTATAACATTATATTCAATATTATACTGGATTTAAGATGGAGATTAAAAATTATCACATTTTAGCAAGTCCCGACTGGTAAAACAGCTAACAGATGGAGAAATGAGAAAAGATTAGTCATTGTTGGGAGAAGTTAAGGAGGCTGAATGAAAGAACACGAGGGAAAAGAGAAGAGAAAAGAGTTCAGAAATGCAGGGTGTTCTTTCATTCCACCACCTCCTGTGCATGCAGCCACTGCTATTGCTTATTTATAGGAAACAAGAAAGAGCATGCATACTGTACCTAGAGAGAGGAATTGTCCAACTATTAACAGAAAGTCCATTGCATAAGGATCAAAATTCCTTTGCTGTCTTTGTGGAACAAAAATGAAATAGATGTGATGTGACACAATTAATAGGTTGTATAGGTTACAGATTCAGAATATCATAGCTATAGAATCAGTTTTTGAGGCATAAGATTTTGCGAGGCAGTTGTGGCACCCTAAAACTTCAATGTTGCAATTGGGAATAAATGATTCGCTGTTGAAGAAAGTAATCATCATATATAGTATGTATAGTTTATTTGCTCTATGATTGGAATGTAGGATATTGTTTGTTTCTTTTTACTGTCTAGACATTTTTATTAAATCAAAGCTCCGTCACTGCTAAATTTAATCCAGAAGTATATCTTGTCATTTAGGTGTTGGTATCTTTAAACCTACTAATGAATTTTAAGAGAGCCTGACCGACACAATGGGCTAGACACTATGCTAGCCTTTCACCTGTAGAGGGAGACGGTCTCAAATCGTTCCCATTGAAGGCAATAAGACTACTCACATGCATAAAATTAAGCAAATGCTTAAATCTCTACATAATCAGGATCACCGCCTAATGCCTACTGGACACATGTAAATCTCATTTTTATTTAATAGTAAAAAAAAAGCCTGAGGATTTGTTATGCCTACATTTGGGCGTGCAAGCACTGTGTCTGTACACACATCCAGTGATTCTGCATGCAAATTGCGAGTTCAGTGCCTAAATACCTATCTGAAACATGTAATCTTGATATTTATGCAACATACACAGGTGCACAATTGTACACACATTTTTATATACTGTCCTCATGCATTCCATTTCAAATCTTGGCCTCACCTATCTCACATGATATATTTAAATAACTACCATACATTAATTTGGTCCATAAAATGAACAGCATTAAGTCGAATTGTACTAAAAGCATCCAAACTTGGATTTAGATTACTACAAGAATAAATGTAAGTAGACTATCAATATAGTGAAAAGTAAATTAGTCTATCGCATTTTATTTCACTGTGTTCCAACACTGAACCTAGACTTGTCAGTTTTACTTTGCAGTTCTCATTGCCCCATAAGTGCTGGAACTGGGAGTGCTGCCACACCCCCTGTCTTGAAGCAGTTTCCCTTATATACAGAGTTTAGTTTGGTTCAATGGCTCTTAGCACCCCCCCCCCATAAAAACTGTTTCAGCATTAGGGTTGCCAATTTTGGTTGGACGTATTCCTGGAGGTCTCATCACACCACAATCGTTAATTAAAGCTTAATCTTTCATTCCAGGCCAATCCCTGCATTGCACTAGCACGTGCTGTTGTGTTTGGGTTCACAACACTGCAAGAGCAATGGTGACATTCCCCCAGAACTATTTTAATTTGTTTTAAAACAAATGTATAGTCTCTATTTGGGGCCCAAAGTAACTTGACAACATCAATAAGGCCCAAATCATGCACTGAGCTCTGTGCTGCTGTAGTGGTGTACTGACTCAGGGCTCATTGCAGGATTGGGGCCTAAGTGATTAATCCAGTTGTCAGTGATATCTTATTCTTTTCCCTGACTTCAGTGAAAGCTGGACAGGTCCCTAAGTTATTATGAAAAATTACATATTAGCTATATTTGACAAACTCCCTTCACTCATTTATAACATTTTATTTTTCACCCATTTTGATTTCAGACTTGACACACATGCTCTCCATAAGAACAGTCATACTGGGTCAGATCAATGGTCCATCTAACCCAGAATCCTGTCTTCCAACAGTGACCAATGCCAGGTGCTTAAGAAGAAATGAGCAGAACAGGGCAATTATTCATTCCCTGTCATCCACTCCCACAGCAGTCAGAGACTAGACACACCCAGAGCATGGGATTGTATCCCTGACCATCTTGGTTAACAGCCATTGATGGACCTGTCCTCCATGAATTTATTTCATTCTTTTTTAAATCTAGTTATGGTTTTGGCTTTCACTCCCCGGCACATCCCCTGTATTTCCAATACACAGAGGTCTAGTATAGGCTCTGTTCTGAACTTTAAATTGAAAGCTATTTGAGTTATTTAACTTTTCCCCCCAGTCTCCAAATGGATAACTCCAAACACAAGGAATTTCACTGGAGTTTGGGGGTTACTTAAAGGATCCGAACACCAATGAAAAATGCGACTCAGTGAGGGAATTTATTCCACACAGCTGTAAGTGCCTAAAAAGGATTAAAGCACCCGGCAACCTCCATACACTTTGGGACACTGAAGCATCCGCATCGCCACTAGCCACACTTTGGGTCTGGGGAGGATGGGCTGTATGGGATCTTCTTAGACAAGGTTCAGCACAGTAGGTGGGATTATAACCCATGCACTGAGTCACATCAGACACTGTTCAATACCCCTCGGCCTAAATAAAACTGGTGTCTCTTAAAGCAAATCACTAAGCAGATCGCCGTCCCCGCCAGGGGCCACTGCTGCGGGGGCATCGCACTGAAGGAAGAGAAAGAGGGAGGGAGACCGTGTGGGTCGCTCACAGCGGAGGCTGTAAACGGGCCTGCGAGCTCCAGTCCTCCAACAACGGAGGCGGGCGGGTCGTTAGGGGGGGTCTCCTCAGCCGCCCCTCTGAACCGGCTCTAGGGGACATGTCTGGGGAGGTGCCCCAGTGAGGCTCGGCTCGGCCCCGGTACCCGCCATGAAGAGAACGTGCCGGGAGAGGAATAAGGGCCCCTCCGCCAGGGGGCTAAAGCCCGCGGCAGCAGCCGCTCCCCCCGGCAGCGTGACGCGTCCTTCTCCCCAGCCCCCTCCCCCCGCGGCGCGGCAAGGACTGCGCGGCGCCTGCCTCCTACCTAACGTGCGTCCGCAGGGGCCGCCCCGGATCGAGCCCCGTGTGCCCAGTCTCAGGCTCCGCCTCCCCCGGCGCCGCGGCGGGTGAGAGGTCAGGCGGGAAGGGCGATGATGATGGCGGCGGCGGAGCAGCTGCGGGTCGGTGTGAAGGCGAGATCCAGCCGGAGACGCGCAGGTAGGATTAGTACCACACAGCCCCCCCCGCTTCCCGGCCTCGTGGCCTCGTCCTCCCCACCCCCTCCCCGGCTCAGCGCAGGGGACTGACCCAATCCGTCCTCGCGGGGGGGAGGGGGGGTGTTAGTGGTTGGCATAAACAGATTAAGCAATTGCTTAGGGCCTCAAGCAGCTCAAGGGCCCCCCATTATTAGTATGTGTTGAGGGGGGCAAAAATATTCCAGTTTAGGGCTCCCAGAGTACTAGCACCAGCACTGGGGGGGGCTCTGTGGCTGGCCCTGGCCCCAGCCCTGAGGTATGGCTATCCCCACCCCTGGCCTGGTGGTGTGGTGTGCCCTGGCCACGGTATTATCCTGTAACTATATCATGGGTAGGGCACTACCAAATTCACATCTGTGAAAAACGTGTCATGGACTGTGAAATCTGGTCTTGTGTGTGCTTTTACCCTATACTATACAGTTTCACAGGGGAGACCAGCCTTTCTCAAACTGGGGGTTGCGGTATTTGCCACCCTTACCTCTGCACTGCCTTCAGAGCTGGGCAGCCAGAGAGCGGCAGCTGCTGACCTAGGGCCCAGCTCTGCAGGCAGCAGCGCTGAAGTAAGACTGGCAGTGCCATACCATGCCATCCTTGCTTCTGCACTGCTGCTGGTGGCAGCACTGCCTTCAGAGCTGGGCTCCTGGCCAGCAGCCCAATTCTGAAGGCAGTGCTGCTGCCAGCAGCGCAGAAGTAAGGGTGGCAATACCACGACCGCCCTGCAATAACCTTGCAACCCCCAACAATCCCCTTTTGAGTCAGGCCCCGTACAGTTATAACACTGTGACATTTCAGATTTAAACATTTGAAATCATGAAATTTCCATTTTAAAAAATCCTATGACCATAAAATTGACCATAATGGACTGCATTAAGCCACATGCACCAGCATCCACGAGAGCCACATGTGTTGCTCCTTTAGGGATGTGGCTTGTTGGCTGCAGCTTTTACTTTTACTTTCTTCCATGTGAGGACCCCATTGTGCAGCACCATTAAGGATGGTGTCAACCTAAGTTGTTTGAAACTAAACAAATAAAACAAGCCTATTTTCTGATCAAGTACCATTTAAATGGCATGTTTTGAAAAAGTGTTAAGTGTTAAAAAACAAAAACAAAAATCTCCCCTTTTTTACATAATTCTTTTCTGCTCCTCTTTCTGTATAGAAGTTTCTTTTCAAAAGGGAGTGACTGACTACAAGGGAAACAGTGAAATTGCTTTGTGTTAAGTGCTGTCAGCTGCACAAAGAAGACAAGCTGGGGAGGCAGAAAGATATTGGAGGAGGGTTGGGTCTTTTGGGGGGCTTGGTTCTAAAACTTTTTTTAGTTACAGGAAGCTTAGGTTGCATCTACGTTAAGAATTCATCTGAAATTTCCTACACCTTCTGCCACTTGTGCTAGCAATGGGTTAGGGAAGAGAAGCTAGTGTAGGTCAAACTCCTGTTAAAGTCAGCAGTGTTCCACATAGGTGTAGGTGTCTGTGCATGTGGCGCTTGTTGCAGAATCGGGGGTCATATTATTTCACCTGTTCAGAGCAGATTCAGCCAACATCAGGGGGCAGAAAAAACAGTGGCAGCCAGTGCCTTGTCTACATTAGCATTTCCACAGTTGCTATCACCACTGGAATTACAATGGTGGGAAATGTTACGGAAGAATCCCTAGGAAATACAGTTGGCACAAAATCTTCAGGCAGAAATGTGACACCACCATTCCCAGTTGATAGTGTCCCCTTAACTTGTTTTTTTTGGACAATGTACAGGACTAAAATGATTTATTCCTCCCTGCCCTGTAGTTCACCAGTAGATACTGTGCCAACTTATTATTTGGTCTTGCTGCTGAGTATTTAGTTAAAAACTGCTGCAGCTATCCATTTAGACGCCCCCAGAAGCACAGGTTTCCAAGTAGTTGCTTATGGTTTGGCTTGTGTGCAAATATGTCTTCCTTGAAGCCATTTATGTATGGAAACGTATGAGCCACAAATGGATGTTTTGTTACTTTGAAAGTTAAAAGGTACATTGATTTATATATTATTTTATTACTAGGAAATAAACAATCAAGTATTTTGAAAAATGAAGATGTAGCACAAAGGTATGATATCTAACTAATGTTATACAGTAATAGCAATTGTTTACTTTACTTTAGAGTTCTCTCTTCTTTATAGAATGTCTTTGTGCTTTTTCAGAAACTTCAATAACTATGTATAGGAGATGCTAAATATTATTAGAATAGTAGGTAAGTTTGTCTGCTATTCAGCACTGTAAGATGCTTTAAGCAACCCCGCAGATTTGTCTTGAGTTATCATATGCCTACCTTATCCTAAGGTAACAATTAATTACATTCACAAACTTAAGAGTGCCAAATTTTGCATAGTCAAGCATTCAGAAGTTAGGAAATGCCAGTATTAGAGCTGTCTGCAATCTTAATTTGACCTCTGTGTGTGTATGAATACAGTCTTTAATTGCATAAATACTTGCTATTTTTTTCCACAGGACCCCTGCCTATTCAGTGCACAGACTGGACAGTGCTCACGTAATGAGAAACCCCATTAAATATTTTGTTTTCTCCTCATTGTTTGGTGTGTGGTCTCAGGCATTATTTACTGCACGCTATTCAAATCTTGCTCTGATTACAGAATTCTTACTTCCTCATGGGCTTTTATGTGGTGCTCATCACTGAAGTCTCTGAATGTTTCACGAACAATTTATTTTCACAACACCCTTCAGCTCAGAGGAGGTATTATCATCTCCATTTTGCAGATGGGAAAATGAGGCACAGAGGTATTAAGGACGAAAGTATCCATGAATTTTGAGTTGCCCATTTTGAGATTCCTAGGGCATTTTTAGAGTACTTAGCATTATATAGTACCATATATGTTCAAAGCACAGCTTACATTGACTTCAGTTGTAGCTGTGACTGCTCAGTGCTTATGCAGATCAGACCCCCGGGTCTCAAGTTAGTCACCCAGAAAGTGAGGAACACATGATTAGGTTTTGTTCAGGTAACCTCAGTTCTCGCATTTCTTAACTTTTGAGAGCTTGACTTTTCAATCTTAACATTCTTTTAATTTAGTTTTTTATGTGTTTCCTAGGTTTTTTAAAGAAAGCAAACTGAAAAAAACAAGTTCCATCATGTGGAACTTCCAGCAGCAAGGTTATAACTCGACTTGAATTTTTGTTGGTAAACATTGATTTCACCATACACATGCAAACCAGCAAAAACATTATTTCAATTGATTATGACTGAAATTTACGGATAGGCAAAGTAAGAAAAATGGTGCTTGAGAGCTTATTTGAGTTTGCTTTAAGGATATTCACTTTGTCAACATCACATGTCAAAATATACTGTCTGTGTTTTAATGGTTATAAAGTTTATAACTTTTTGAATCTCAGCATCTGCTGTCATTAAATAATTATTGTCTTACTCCCCCTCTTGTCTGATCTCCATAATTTCCCACACTTGTGAACATTGAAATAGATAAAAATAGAAAAAAATGTTAAAACTCATCATTTTGTGCAACTGTGAAAATTTAAATCTGTTAAAATCGAGAAAAAGATGCTTAAAAATACACATTCATATTATCCATTGAAATTATTAAAAACAAAACAGAACTCTGCCATGGCTGGTTGTAATCTTTAGATGTATAGCACAGACTTCTGCCTCTTGAGCTAATGGAATAATTGGTAGGAGCAGTATGTTGTCATCCTCAACATGGTTCAGACACTAGAGGGGGATGAGATGCATGCTGTGCCATTGAGCTTCACAGATATTTGCTGACAGCAGAGGAATGGTGAGACTTGGGAATCTTGGGTTCCATTCCAGTCTCTAGAGGGGGGCATGTATCCTTCTGCCCCTGTTCCTTCCAACCTGTCTCTGTCTGAGTTCTTTTCATTACCTTCCTAGGCTCTTCATCCCAGTCCCAATCTTCTTGTCCAGCCAGCTGTTCCACCTAAGGGCATGAAGGTTTTTGCTATTAAAAGAAAAATGTCACCCACTAACCAGAGTACGTGTGGGAAAACATTTACATGCTGCTTTTCTTACAGTCCTGACTTCTGGATGTTGTGCTTCATTTACTAAATCTTTTGCCTTTTACTTGGGCACTGGTTCAGAGCTACATATTAATCCTGTTGCAATGATGTATTTACTTCCCAAATGAACTGTTTTCTCCAATAAAGATTGTTCAGACTGCCTGTGGGAGAAGGCCTGGATACTTCTCCAAGAACTTGGGGGGCGGAATGCCAAACCAAGTTTGGGAAAACTCACTTAATGGTTCCTGGTTGCCACAAAATTCTAGTCTAAGTGGAATACATTGCTGTGTGAGGTCATCGTAGCAAAATGCATACCAGAGCATTAAAATGCTACACTTTGTATAGGAGAGAGACAAAAGATATGTTTGAGAGAATTGTGTATGGTAAAGTGCTGTCTATGTAATTCAATGTTTACTCTATTGTAGGAGGGCAGCACTTGAGGCTGCTATTAGAAAGAAGTTTGAATATGAGAAAAAAGCTCTGCGTGTTGTTGAACAGCTATTGGAGGAAGATATTACAGAAGAGTTCCTCGTGAATTGTGTACGTGTTTCTTTTGCAAGTTCTTATACTAATTTGAGTCTCTAGTCTCTCTTTGCCAGAATCTGGGAATGGGCGACGGGGTGGATCACTTGATGGTTACGTGTTCTGTTCGTTCCTTCTGAAGCACCTGGTATTGGCCACTGTCGAAAGACAGGATGCTGAGCTAGATGGACCTTTGGTCTGACCCAGTATTGCCGTTCTTATGTTCTTAAAGTTCTTTTTAATTCTTGTAGCAAATTTGTTAGGGTAATAACCATTCAATCATCCAGTTTCTCTTTCAGTGCTAATGTACCCTCCTCTGTTCTTGCTTTTAATATTTCCACTGTGAAAATATGTCTTATTTTTAAAGGCCTGGTTTTGCCAGCCTTAATCATGATGAGTATTGCTTACTTAGGTGAGTAGTTCCACTGCCTTTAGTGGCTCATGGATTCCAGATTGATGAGTGTGGTGTAAAAAGTTAGGATCAGATCATCTCCTCTGTGGGAAGGGGCTTTAGAGAAAGGCCCCATGATACCACCCTTTGCCCCATATGACTTCCCTGGCACCACAGCTTCACTAGAGCAATTCAAAGACTACCCGTGTTGTGGTTTCCCCAGGTGAGGCTCTGCAGAAAAGATAATACAGCTCCAGGTTGTATATCTTTTCTGGCTACTCCCAGTTGGCCCTGCAGAACTTAATATGTGGCTGAGCTTCCTCTGCACACAGTAGGAGAGAGAGCCATGTGCAGAGGGCCTGCTCTGAATCCATATATATATATGATATGATAAAATATATGATCTGATATGATCCAGGTCACAGATAGTATTATTCAGCATGATGTAAGGGATGTAGAATCTGGTCCATGGGGAATATATTATGTTGCAGGCATTAGCATGAAAGTGTTAAGCTGAAACACTCTTGTGAAGATACCCGACAAATGCTCTATTATATTTTATCTCATGTATATGTTATATGTATATGATCTGGGCAAACATTTTTGCAGTTGAATCTGAGTTCAGCTTCTATAAAACAAGTTCTCTTCTACTTGGTGCTGAACATTTTTGGCAAGGTATGTACCATGGCTTGGGTACTCTTGAAAAATATTTAGCTGGACAGACTTACCAAAAACATCCATATTTTGGGTGTACCTTTTCTTCAAATTGTGCCCAAGGCCATAAGCACAGTTATTTTACTCAGTATTCATCACTTAAACAATAATATAAATGTAAAAGCATGAAAAGTGTCACTAGATTTATAATGTGTACCATGTAAAAAGTGTCAATTAAGCTATATACGCAGTGGAAATATTAGCCATTTACTGACAGAGAGGGAAACTGCGGAAATAACTTTATCACAAAGTTATCTAAGTAAAAATATAAGATGTTGATAATAGTACTGTCTATACACTTGCTCTCATCTCTTACTATGTGTGCTTACCCCATTACCATTCTTAATCTTTTAACTTCTGCTTTTTAAATAGTAGTGGTTTTACTAATTTTTTTTATGAACAAACTTAAGCATTCATGTACTTCTGAGTTTTGAGAGTTATGATACAGTGAATGCTTTTAAAGTAAGTCTGTTGAACTATTTTCTAATGATTTTAGGGAAGTTTTATTACCCCATCTCACTATAAGGATGCTGTGGAGGAGCGTTTTATCATCAAACTCTGTGGCTATCCCTTATGTCGAAATGGGCTAGAAAATGTAAGTTCCTTTTTAATTAATATTTTGATGTTAAGAGCTCTTGAGCCTTTCTTTATCTTATCCATTCTCTCTTTGTCATTCTAATCATCTGAGCAGGAAACATTCTGTGTTACTCCCAGGTGAAGGTCCTGTTGCTCCCCCCTAAAATCTCTCTTAATTAAGGGGAAAGGTTGAATTTGCTTATTTGGCTATCACTACTGCATGACTGAATCCTTTGTCATCTTTGTAAACTGACAAAGAATAATATGGATTAAACATTATGGATTCATGACTCCAGCTGTGCAACAGGAAAAGTTTATTTCCCATCCTAGAGTTTTCTTTTCAGTGAAAGCACATATCTCCATGGGAAAAGAGGGCTTATAATGTTTAAAGACAATATTTCCCCATGGATACATTTTAGAACTCTTTGTCACTTGTCTGGATGGGATGGCTTCATAGGAGCCTCACTACTGTGGTGTTATATTGGGGGACTTGGAGTGATCGCAGAGGTATAGATCTATCTGCATAGGCCCTCAGGAAGCATAAATGAGACTTCAGAGTGTGAAGTACAGTTACATAAACTGTGTTGTAATGCTAGCTGCAGTATAGTAGGTAACTAGTTAAATCTGTTTAATGCTTTTCTATTACAAGTAGGAAATAACACTTCCTAGATTTAAAAAGTAACATTAATGCTCTCAATCCCTAAATTTGACACTTTAAGTAAGTAAATTTCCATGGTACTGGTATTTGTACTCTGACATCTAGATCTACTTGTTTCTGGAGTTTAATCTCTCTATTAATGTCATATCATAATACAAAATAGGACTAGCCTCTGTTGTACAATTGAAGTCTTATGACAATAGTATCAATTTAGTAATTCCAGTATGGCAAATATAGTCAGGAAAAGAAAAAATAATCTGTGTTCTCCTTAAACTAAAGTGAAAGATCTATGTCTTACATGTTTCTAAGACTCTTATTTCCATGGGATAAAAGCACTATTTAGCATAAGATTTTCTAGATCAAATGTTAAAGGATATTGCTAATTTCATAGATTTGGACACTGCATCTAATCATTAGCTCCAACTCATGCTTTATAACATATAAGAAAGTCTATTTTGTGGGGGTTTTGGGGGATGCAATTTCTGTTACATGTTTGAAATACTTCAATTAAATACTGATGACAGATGACCAGATTGTGTCATCCAATACCTTCATACAGAGTGGAGGATGCTCTGTGTGTGGTTGCACATGATGGGGAGTGTCAAACACCTTTAGCACTATTGTCTCCCTTCCTAACACTCGGCAAAGAGCTCTCTACTGGGTCGGGTTTATGTGTTAGAAGGGAGGAAATCTCTTACATGGTCCTTCCTCTGGCCCCGCAGAGATTTACCTGGGCTACTATTTTATCTGCTCCGTGGAGCCATCTCTGTGGTAGTCAGAGGGCATGACTTGTAGGACAGCTTCATAGGAGCCTCACCAATGTGGAGTTAGAGTGGGGGACTCACAGCTAGCACAGAGGCCTCCTGCAGCTCTCCATACAACAGTTTAAACAGTTGGTTTAAAACAAAAGATTGATCTGAAGTTATTTTCCTGGTCTCATTGGTAAGTGTATTCCTTTTTAGGTGCCAAAACAGAAGTACAGAGTTTCAACAAAAACAAACAAAGTTTATGATATTACAGAAAGAAAGGTAAGGTTTCAAGTCTTCCTCTAACATGTATCTAATGTTGTCTCCTACATTTATTTTTGCAACGGCTTTCTTACCAAACCTTGTTCAATCACCAATATACATTTTGTTATTAGCAAAATGGGTTTTACAAACCTGTAGAGTATAAAATAGATAACCACTCTGTCTCTAGATGCTACCTACCTTTGAAAGGAAAATGCTATATTATGCTTATATTTAAAAGGAACACAGTGCAGACAGTTGCAATCCAACAGAAAGATCTTATTTGCATGTAAATTCAAATCTGACAATACTGATATATTGCAGATACATTTGTGAGCAGGTGGCTTTCTCAGCCTCCTCCAAATCAAAGATTACATAGTTTTCATAAGGTCAAAGTTCATCCCCATCATACAGTTGGATTTTTATTGACAAAGAAACTAACAACAGCGTAGCACAAATTCCATCCTAAGCCCACCAACAGCTTGACTACTCCTAGTGTTCTTTTTTGATTACTCTGCAACTTAGACCCTATTTCTAGGCAACTGCTCCCTTATATTAGGTACAGAGTTCATAATCTGTTTGCAATAGTGAATCAAAGGCATCCCTTGGCATTTCCCAGCGGGATCTATGCAGAATAGCACTGCCAGCCTATCATATGAGCCGAGAGTTTTCTCTCTCTTCTCTCCATACATAATGTCCATACTGGGTCAGAGCAGTGATCCGTCTAGCCCTGTATCCTGTCTTCTGACAGTGGCCAGTGCCAGATGCATCAGAGAGAATGAATAGAACAGGGCAATTTCAAATGATCCATCCCCTGTCATCCACTCCCAGCTTCTGGCAGTTGGAGGTTTAAGGACACCTGGAGCATGGGGTTGTGTCCCTGATCATCTTGGCTAATAACCATTGACAGTTTTATTCTCCATGAACTTACCTAATGCTTTTTTGAAGCTAGTTATAATTTTGGCCTTCGCTGTATCCCATGGCAATGAGTTCCTCAGGTTGACTGCATTGGGTGAAGAAATTCTTCCTTTTTTTTTTGTTTTAAACCTGCTGCCCACTAATTTCATTGGGTGACTCCTGGTTCTTGTGTTATATGAAGGGGTAAATAACACTTCCTTATTCACTTTCTCCACACTATTCATAATTTTATAGACCTCTGTCATATCCCCCCCTTAGTTGTTTCTTTTTCTCAGATGGACAGTCCCAGTCTTTTAAGCGCTCCTTGCATATCTCTAATCATTTTTGTTGCTCTTCTCTGTACCTTTTCCAATTCTAATATATCTTTTTTTGAGATGGGGTGACCAGAACTGCATGCAGTATTCAAGGTGTGGGCATACGCTGGATATATATATATAGTAGCATTATGATATTTTCTGTTTTATTGTCTATTCCTTTCCTAATTGTTCCTAACACTTTGTTAGCTTTTTTGACTGCTGCTTCACATTGAGTGGATGATTTCAGAGAACTATCCACGATGATTCCAAGCTCTTTCCTGAGTAGTAACAGCTTATTTAAACCCTGTAATTTTGTATGTATAGTTGGGATTATGCTTTCCAATGTGCATTAATTTGCACTTACCAGCTTATAGTTCATCGGCCATTTTGATGTCCAGTCACCCAGTTTAGTGAGATTCCCTTTGTAACTCTTTGCAGTCTGCTTTGGACTTAACTATCTTGAGTAATTTTGTATCATCTGAAATTTAGCCACCTCACTGTTCACCCTTTTTTCCAGATCATTTATGAATCTGGTGAGCTGCATCTTACAGATGTGGTCAGATGTTTGGCTGCGTGTGTGTGTTCTTTCTGCGTGCTGTACTGACCCTGGCCAGATAGCCCGTATAGAAGGCTCCAATTTAAACTGCCCAATAGATCCACAGACTCAGGTCGTAGCGAAGGCACTTGGTCAGGTTTATTGTTAATGAAGCACGGTCCTAATGTCCTGGATCAGTGGTTACAGGTACACTAACACATGTATGCCTGTTGCAATGGACTAGCTGAGTTAATGGCGGGACTTTCCATTATCCCCTAGGCCAGCCAAAGACACTTCCTCTGAGATAAATTTTTATACACAGATACAAATAAGTTATGTATTACCCCTGACGGATTTGGGTGCCACCCATTACCGTATACATGTTGCTTAGATCAAAACATCTCTATCCATCATGCTGTCATCCTGACCTTATCTTTAGGATGAGCCAGTGTGTTCCTGTTATCTTTGGGGAATGTGTTTGGTATCGAGGTGTTCTGGTACTAGGGTTGCCAGGTGTACAGTTTTCGACTGGAACGCCTGGTCGAAAAGGGACCTTGGTGGCTTCGGTCAGCACCGCTCACCGGGCCGTTAAAAGTCCAGTCGATGGCACAGCGGGGCTAAGGCAGGTTCCCTGCCTGCCGTGGCTCCGCTTAGCTTCTGGAAGCAGCGGCATGTCCCCCCTCTGGCTCCTACGTTTAGGGGCAGCCAGGGGGCTCCACACGCTGTACCTGCCCCAAACGCCGGCTCTGAAGCTCCCATTGGCCGGGAACTGCAGCCAATGGAGCTGTGGGGGCAGTGCCTGCGGACGGGGCAGCACGCAGAGCCACCTAGCCATGCCTCCGCGTAGGAGCCGGAGGGAGGACATGCCGCTGTTTCCATGAGCTGCTTGAGATAAGCACCGCCCGGAGCCTGCACCCCTGACCCCTCCCGCACCTTCCCCAGCCCTGATCCCCCCCCATCTGAACCTCAGTCCCAGCCTGGAGCACCCTCCTACACCCTAAAGCCCTCATCCCCAACCCCACCCTAGAGCCCGCACCCTCAGCCGGAGCCCTCACCCCCTCCCGCAACCCAACCTCCTGAGCCAGTCCAGTGAAAATGAGTGAGTGAGGGTGGGGAGAGCGAGCGATGGGGGGGGAGAATGGAATAAGCAGGGGACAGGACCTCAGAGGAGGGGTGGGGCAAGGGTGTTCGGTTTTGTGTGAGTAGAAAGTTGGCAACCCTATTTGGTACCATCTTTCTGGAATGTTTGCTTATATATTTTTATGCCTAGCACTACTTAGGAATGTGTGTTTTTGCAATATCAGCCATGTTCTTGCCAGATTCTGTGAGCAGGGGCTGCCTCTTGCTCACAGCTTAACTTTGCTTTATATTAGCAAGTTTTAACCATTACTTTAGCTCAGGCCTTTGATACGAGGGCTTATATTTCAGGCCAAAAGAACAGGAGTACTTGTGGCACCTTAGAGACTAACAAATTTATTAGAGCATAAACTTTCGTGGGCTACAACCCACTTCTTCGGATGCATATATTTCAGGCCCTCTTCCTACTACAACAGGAAGCACTAACCACCTTGTAGAACAAGGTCCATTCACTGCTTAAACTGTTCTTCCATCTACCTTTTAAAATCTTTAGTATTTTATTTAATTCCTCAATCTTATACCTTTATGGGGATGGGGAAGTGTTGTGGTGCAGAGTAAAATAAAGTGGCAGGAATTGCAGGTATAATCTTATATTCGGCATTCTTTGAACTTCATGTTTTGAGATACGGAGCAGAGGATGCAGCAAAGAGTCCTGTGGCACCTTATAGACTAACAGACATATAGGAGCATGAGCTTTCGTGGGTGAATACCCACATCTTCGGATGCATGTAGTGGAAATTTCCAGGGGCAGGTATAAATATGCAAGCAAGAGTGAGTAAGGCTAGAGACAGGGCCGGCTCTGGCTTTTTTGCCGCCCCAGGCAAAAAAGCCTCCCGCCGCCCTGCCCCCCTCCCCCACGCGGCAGGGGAGGGCGGCGAGCCCCGCCGGGGCTCCGCTTTCCCCGGCGGCCAGAGGCTGCGCCGGGGGGAGGGCGGCAAGCCCCGCCGGGGCTCTGCTGTCCCCGGCGGCGAGCCCCGCCGGGGCTCCGCTGTCCCCGGTGGCCAGAGGCTGCGCCGGGGGGAGGGCGGCGAGCCCCGCCGGGGAGGGCAGCGAGCCCAGTCGCGGCCCCGCTCTCGGGCCGGAGCGCCGCGCCGCCCCCCTCCAGGTGCCGCCCTAAGCACCAGCTTGGTGGGCTGGTGCCTGGAGCCGGCCCTGGCTAGAGATAACGAGGTTAGTTCAATCAGGGAGGATGATGCCCTCTTCTAGCAGTTGAGGTGTGAACACCAAGGGAGGAGAAACTGCTTTTGTAGTTGGCTAGCCATTCACAGTCTTTGTTTAATCCTGAGCTGATGGTGTCAAATTTGCAGATGAACTGA